TTGAGTTATGACTGAGTGCCTTAGCTTCCGAAATCAAATCGTCAGACGAAATATTCTTCTAGAAATCGTTAAGTCATGGGAAGACAAGATAGATCCAAATAAAGAATTAATCTAAAATACTTAACTCCAGACTTGGTTTCCATATCATTATCATCACTTTTGCACTGGTTATTTCGTTTCATCGAAAACTGAATGTAACAGTCTGACATTTCCAAAGATTTAGTTTAAGACCATCAGACTATGACCATTTCCTGACTCCTGAAGGAGAGCTGTTCATCTTAGTATAGTCTAGCCGGGAGTTAACAGATATTGAAATAGTTACATAGTCCGCATATTTAACAAAGTTCGTTTCATCAGAGTGAAGCAAGTCATTCACGAATGAAGAAAATAGAAAAAGAGAAAGGACAATGTCGACAGAGACACCAGCCTTAGTAAGCAATGGAGTGGATGAATTCCCCCGATGTACTGCTTTCTTTCTTACAATGAGAATTCAGCCATATGACACCCCAACCGTCAGTCTGAATTTAGGAAAGCTTATTGAACAAAATGTCCCTAGGTACTGAGTCGAAATCAGATGCGTAATCTGAGAATTTGCAGTCGAAAGATTTGCTCCTTTGTGTTAGCTGGAAATGATGTTATATTGCACGACTGCAGTTGCATCTTAAGTACCTCTACTATGTTTTCAGGCGAACTGCTCGGGATCGCTAAAGGCTTTAAGTGAAGGTTCGAAAGTAGAAAAGGGCAAGTTTTCCATAACTTTTAGAGAAATAGCGGTAAAAGCAATACGTCTAAATTTAAAACATGTTCCAGTAGATTGTTTAGGCATAAGCGAAATTTAAATGTACTTCCAAAAACTTGGCACGCAATTTCAGGGAGAAGATTCATTTAATATGTCCGTGAGAGGATAACGTAAGTTGTCTGCACATTTCATACGACTAGGTTCGGGCAAACCATCTGAACTTAGGCTACCAGAAGGGTTCAGCGACGGGAGACATTTGAGAAGGTCATTTTTATTGAGACCAGTGAATTAGCTTTCAGTAACACTTGTGACACTAGAGAGCTTGTCATTTGTGGGAGAATGTATCAAAGACTTGTTTAGTATGCACACATGAAATGAATAAGGAATACTGTTTATTTCCTTACCTCAAGTAGATTCTTCGAAAAAGTTTCCATATATTAGAGGCAGTTTTACAGGATATAAATTTCTGTTTATAAATTGAATTCAACCTGCGCATGTCAAATTTGATTAGGATGATAATTCTTTTCACAACAATTTTATCCTTGGTTTTATATGACTTCTCCTTTTCCCTGCGATGCGTTGCTCTGAGGCAACAGGTGTCAAGACAAAAAATTCGAGATAACATGTAATATTTAAGATAGTGTCATCAACCGAGTCTTCATTAAAGAAGTCTCATCTTATATTTACGAATAAGCTCCTAAGATTCCGAACAATCCGATAAGAGTAACATTTATGTACAATTTTCTTGGACAGGTGTGGAAAGGTTCTATTATGTAAATTTCTGTAAATATTAGGACAAATTACAACATTAATATGATCGAAGTTAAACAGCAAGGCTCTCTTACGAGCTTTGTATATTCTGGTGTCATTTAAAAAAACAATATCGAAGTAATTATCTAGTTGTGTCAGAAAGTTAATGATATTTTCATGACCTAGCACTGTTAGGAAACTGCAACCACAAAAACTAAATTCTGCCGTCTCTTGACCGCTGCCTGTTTTTTTGTCTAATTTCAGTCTAATTCAGCTAACATTACCTATCGAGGAAGGTAATTGCTATGCATATATATTTATTATATATCCAAGCCATCTCAATCCATGCACAATCACAACTTCATCGATTGCCTTTCCTCCACACCTGATATAAGAAATCAACTCCTAATAGTACACTCATGATCAAAGAAAATAAAGACTTTGTATATCTTCAACTACCAATAAATACATATGTCAGCCCCAAAGGAGGGCACAGTGAACTAGTGTGCAGTGCATATATTCTTTGACTGATTGCACAATGGGCACTACGCGTATACCAGAATTGGCGTAGGTTGACAAACTCCGCACATGGAGAAATAAAAGTACAGTGTTGAATTGTTTACAGATCTGAAAATATTTGATCGAACGACGTACATTTAGACTCCTATTTCGCTTGAACATACTCTATGAGTAGTAAGTGAACTTACGCTGAAAATTAAGTACGATGGATTAGCGTATTGTTCAGAGTAAAGCAATTATTAAAATTATTTTCTCGGTACTTCCAGAAATTGGCATACACATAAGAACAACATTTTTCGAGTACATATTACATATAGTTGACTCTTATCACCTATGGTTCCTTCTTTTTACATTACTTTGATGTTTAATTTAAGTGTCGATAAGCCTTTCTGATGATGATACCGACAGAATGACTAACACCACAGGACAAAGTATCGAAGGAGGAGATTATCATCACAGAAACCGAAGTAACAACAAGATAGATCAGATTTATTCTTTCATTCATTGAAAATGTTTTAATTTTTAAAACAAATTGAAATCTACCCTCCAAAGTAGTGCCTTATTTCAACAGCCAGAGGGCACTTTTCAAACTTAACTAAATTTGTGTCTAATTTTCAACGTGTTCTACCGCATTAGACTCGACATGGTCTCATATTTGAAAAGTAATCAAGCGAGTTTCTGAAAAATTCAAACATATAGCCTTGTATTAGCTTGAATATATTTTTGTGTAGTAAAATACTCACTATTGAACTCAAGAAATACATATTTCTTGATTCAATATGAATACACGAAGCGTTCTCTCACTCACTTTTGTCTTCCACATCAGTGTCTGTGGTTCTCAAGTATTATGCTCTAAGGATTATTAGATGGCGCATTGAGTTATGCAAATAACTCGCTGTACAAGAAGATTATATTGATATTTGTTTGAATGTGTGACTAATTATGGTGGCTGAAGTGACTTCTGACTACCTACTTATCGTACCTGAAAACTGAATCGTTTAGAAGAGTGGAAATACACTACACCGTTGTGTACCTTTCCAGGCACCTATTAGATACATGAAAGCTTTGATCAACCTGACGTAGACCTCCATATTTTACTTTGAATGTCTTTCAACAAACAGCTCTAGGATGCATAATGGTAAGAATAGACTATGGATTAGATTTCCTTCTACCTCAATGAAACAACACAGACTCCACTATAATTCACATTGAATAGTAATGTGGCTTGGTTCTCGCAAAATGGTGGAGAATATAAACTGGATATAATGAGATTTGAACGGCTCATTTATTAAGCAATATTACATTGAGTTTTTCGAATTTCATCAATTATGGTTTCCAAAGGACTGACTGGAAAAATATCGGGACTTGTTTACGCATGTCATGTGGATTTGATTTTGTCACGAGTTGGTATTAACTGACCATTTGAAATTCCAGTCTTCTTTGACCTTATTCTTTGAAAACGATGTCACTTAACGGAACATGAAATCAAGGCCAACATGAAGTCGCTAAGGGTTATGTTGTCTGCTCTCACAGTGCACATCTCAGTGCACCGTATGATTGTCTTTATGAAAGCACAACCAGTCTGCATAATTTCATCTCACTGATTTCAGCTAAGAACAGAGTTTTATGTATTTAGAGCTTGTGTCATCGGAAATCATTTCCAACATGTCGCTATTTACTTCATCAACACAAGCCTCTGTCTGCTATGGAAGACCAGTTGAGCCCAATAAAAGTGGAATTCGACTATACAAAATGTTTGCCTCATACCCTTTTAAAAGACAGGTTGTTGTAAACGTTTTGCCATAATGTGAATAACCGCCAGTCCATCTGTCACAAGGCTTCATGAACGAGCATTGTAACAACAGAAGACAAGGGCCAGGCAACAGATCATCAATGCGCCAACTGTATTTGCCTACGCAAAGTCTGCTCTGGTGAGTTGATGAATCAGCCTTTGTTCTTATTTTTCTCACGACAGAAATCGGCGACGTAAACATTGGCGTAAATTACTGCCTACCAAGCTGGCCAGCAGCCAGCTCTCACCACATTAAGACGCTATTACAGGTGATTGACAGTAATTCCCTGCATTTAGATCTTGTACTCACTCATTTCTTGCCAACGCAAAATCCACAATTCATGACTACGCAGTTTCTACTCATTCTCATTACTTGAGGATCAAAAATAGTCTCACTTGTATTGAATTTTTTAATGTAGTACAGCAAAAAAAGTAAAATTGATAATACACTTATTTAAAACTATTCCGGATGTGTATTCAAAAATCAACCTAATGGATAATTAGTGTGTTTTTGCTGCTTAGGACTGAACAACACGTGGAAGATGGCCACCTCCGTTGAAACGAGAAAATGCAGCCAGATAATTAACATACCAACTATCAGTCCACAGAGTACGTGTTGATCATTCCGAAATGTGAATCGTCTATCACCAAGAAGTGCTTGAACAATGATAGCTATCTCCTGAAAGTGAAAGGGAAGATTGATGAAACTTATTAGTGTCCAGTATGTTTTCAGGCAGTACAAATGCATTCATGAATTCGTGAACAGAAATAAGTAAGATGCTTAAGTTATATGAATGGACCATGAAAGTCCATTCATATCATAGGATTTCTAATGACGATAAAGAAATGATTTCAACTGACATGGGGATTCAGTTAGCCGATGTATTTTATGTCTCCGACAGGCAGGTATCAATATGTAGATTGGTGACACTTGAGTAAAATTCTAGCTCTTGATTACATGATTAGTCCCTACACCCAAAAAACAGAACTGAAGACGTTTCAGTGGGACGACAGCGTACATTTATCTCTCATAAATAATATTCGAGACGGTCACTGAGTGAGTCAGTTAATTCAGAAGTACAGTTTCAACTTCACTTATCTACTTCGTTCAGTGTCACTTTGTTTTCTCGGTAGACTAACAGTAGGTGTCATTTCCAGAAGTGCAAATCGCTTTTTCAAATGATCGACTGATAAACATACCGAAATAACTGTCCATATCATGGCGAATCCACACAGCATGATGAGTATCTGTCAAGAGAATGGGAGGTGAAATCAAAGGTTTAGTTTAAACGACACAAATATGGAATTATATTTTCTTCATTGTGACCATTAATTTAAATGACCGTCTATTATTATTATTATTGCTTCCTTGGGTTCCTAGTGGAACATAGGGCTTCAAATGCACGTCTGCATTTGCTTCTGTCTTCTGCTGTACTTTTCGCCTGCATCCAAGTTAGTCAATATTCTTTCAACTCCTCTTCACACGATCTCCTCCGTGTCAACCTTCGACGTCCCACTCGCCGCTTCCCTTTCGGGTTCCACTTGAGGGCTTGACGCGCGATGTCACCCAGCGGTCTCCCCAGCGAGTGCCCGATCCATCTCCACTTTCTCCTGCATATTTGTTGGGCGATTGGTTCTTGCTTTGTTTGTTCCCATAATTCGTTGTGGGTGATTCTTTCCGGCCCGGCCATCTGATCTTCAGTATAGAGCGGAGACAATTGTTGTTTGATAAAGGTCTGCAACCTTTTAGAAATGTTCTTTGTAACCCTACAAGTTTCTGATCCGTATAGAAGAACTGACTTGACGTTTGTTTTGAAAATCCGACCGAATTATTTTGTTAATGCTAGCTGAGTGACGAAGATTTCCAGATTGGTTTCAGGTTGATGAAGAATGTGTTTCTCGCCTGCCTTCCCGATTCTCGCTCGATTTGATATCCTCGTCCATTCCGACTTCCTGTAGTTGAGACAATGCTCCCTAGTTAAGATAAGTGAATGAAGTAACCTCTTTCAAATCCCTCCCGTTGATGGTGATTGACGCTGGATGTTGCTGCCGTTGTTCATGTTGTTGTTGGTTGGTTATTTTCATAACCTCCGTCTTGTCTATGTTCACTTGGAGTCCTGTCTTCACCATCTGCTTCTTCGACCAGTTTGTCGGTTTTCGCTTGTAAGTCTTCGATTTTGTGTGACATCAAACATAAATCATCCACGCGCGAAATCTAGGTCTTCTAGGTTCTTCACGTCGATCGGTCCAGGATATACCTGTCTTCTCGTTTCTCACTCACTGTCTGACGCATAATCCAGTCCACCACAATTAGGAATATCATTCATTGGTAATAATAAGCAGCCTTGTCTGACTCCTGTGTTTACTCTAAACGCCTTGCTGAGTTTCCCGTTGTGGATCACTTGACATGTGCTGTTGTCGTACAGCTGTTGAATTAGGTTGATGAAGATTTGGGTGCTGCACGCCATAGTACTCGAGTAATTTCCAAATTACTTCACGGTCAACGCTGTCGAAATCCTTCTCAAAGTCTATAAACTTGAGGTAGAGGTTTGAATACCAATCCATGATTTGTTTGATGATGATGCGTAGAGTAGCAATTTGATCAGAACATGATTTGCCTTTCCTGAATCTCCAGCTTGTTCTGGTCGGGGTTCTGTCTCCAGTGCGTCCAATAATCTCTCCAGGGTGATGCGACTCAGGATTTTAATTGGCGTCGACAGGAGCATGATTCCTCGCCAGTTCTTGCAGAGTCCTAAGTCGCCCTTCTTTGGTAATTTCACGAGGTAACCTTTCCTCCAGTCAGTAGGCATCTTTCTCTCCTTCCAGACATTTTGCAATAATGGAGTCAGCATGTCTGCTGTCGTCTCTGGGTCGGCTTACAGTGCTTCAGGGGGTATTCCATCTGGTCCGGCTGCCTATACAGCTTTCAGAAGATTGATTGTGTTCAAGACTTCAGCTCTTGTTTGGGGATTTGTGTCAACTTGCAGTTTTGTGCGCGCGAAATGACCGTCTAATTTCTGTTATTTATTTACTGCGCCTGGTGTAATGACGCAATCTGACTAATTGTGGAATAGCTATCTGCAATATGCAGGAATCTTAATTACAGCCTCAGTGTAATTTATATTCCTGCAACTAACAGCTCGAAGTGATAACGTTCTCTAGGAGAATGAAACTTGTTTGCTAACTTAGTTTCGAAATATCTATACTCAAACTATCTTCACAATTTATGAGAAACTTGCCAAGTTTGGATAACATCAGTAGTAGATTATCGACATTCAAGTTAAGAAATTGAAGTGTTTGATTTCATGCTCACACTCTTCCAAATTACTAACAATTCTCCATCATACCTTCTTAACTCTTCTGTCATCTTGCTTGAGATTAGAGCCTCTAACATTGTGTGGAAATACCAAGTGTCCAATAAGACTCTCAAAATCATCCAAGCAACGCATATTGGTTGGCCTACAGTAGACTCTTAAAGTACTTTATTCCAGCAGTGTTTAAGTATGCTGCTTTTCTGCCTTAAAGTGTCAATAGTGACAGTGATGTTTTAGGCACAGAAAAATCGTCAGATATGCCGCCTCTGTTCCGTCTATTCCTGGCTTATCTTGTGGTTAGTAAACTATGTGTCTCTGTCACATATCCTCAGCAACAGATGAAATTTCATGATGACCAACCCAACGTTCATCTGAGCTCTTACATCGTATTCTTGAAAATAAATGAAAGGGAAGAATACCACACAAAAGAATAATTCAACGACGAATGTGGCAAGAATGAACGGGCCGAAACTTTTGAGCAAATCGAATCTCCTAAGTACACTGACAGCCACAACAATTCCTGCAATAAGCATTGTAATAATCCATGTGACAAACGTCCACCAGATTTCTACATCGATAAGCGGTACAGCTGCGGGAAAAGCGATGATTATTGTCTGTGGGAGGAAAGAGGAATAGAGGTTAAGAATGATGCAATTCAATATGATTGTATTGAAAGTACTTTTGGAAATGAATTTGTATTCTCAACTGATGTTGTACGGATGAAATGAGAAGGCAGGAAGCGATAAATCTTCTCGAATAAATCAACAGGGATTTATCAAGTATTTTCACATAAAGTTATTGAGAGATATATGTTGTTTGAGATAGCGCTAATAATTCTTTGAAATGGTTTCATTGAGCACGTGTTTCCATTCATTCCATATTGTTACAGATCTTGTGAAAGATCGTCGTTAAGGAAACGCATTTCTCTTTCTCTTCGAACCTGTTCACATTTAAATACTCCAGTTTTGCAGCTAAATGATTTGTTCATGGTAAGTAGTCAGCGTATTATTAGTAGTATGAATTACTTAATTGTTATCGTTTTCATTCGTTATTCCACTCAACTGGGAATATTAATTCAATTTCATCACGATTTACTTTATATCAGAACTGGTATGTTTGAATCTCGAATGAAATCGAGGCTTCTTCTTTCCTTAACAGTCAACCGAATTCCATTAGGGATAAAATTTTATTCTGATAAACCATATCAAATGAAACGAATTATTGAGGATGATGTGTCGCCTAGTGTGTTCTAGTCATGTCACTCCTTCTCTCGGTTGAATACTTATGATGCTCGAGTTCCAACATTTCATTTAAAGATATCACGTAACCTGTGTTTGGAGTTATAAGAAAGGCAACAAGCGAAACATGCCCTTGTCTAAACCTTTGGCAATCTGATACACAAGACAAATGCACTACTGAATTTACCGCTTTCATAAAAATAAATGAGAATGATGACACGAGCTGCACTCACAGTTACTATCAAGTACATATAATTGTAGGGGAAGGCGAATTGTAATTGTGGTATAAGCAGCATTTCCAGTTGCAGAAGTGTCCCCAGAATTCTATATCGACACAAACGAAAGAAATGAAAGTTATGAGGATGGCGATTCTCTAGATCAATTTGTAGTGGATGAGGAGGAGGTTGGATAATAGACACCCCTTGACATTTTGTCGATTAAATGTGATGACCCTCAGGAGGGTACTCGAACTACACTCAACTATGTTATTCGAATGATGAATACAAGAGTAATACTGATGATGACAACAATTAATTCACATAAATCTGAAGTATTTAAATGATTAAGATGCCGAAATGAAACACTCAGCTGTACAAGTATTCTTAGTTATCAGTGTGATTCAGCCTTGCTTGCAGCCTTCGTGGATTATCAGTATTTATTTTATTATGTCTACAACTCGAACCTCGTAGAATCATGGTGTCTGAATAATTTACTCAGAAAGAAAGCAGTTCCACTTCACTATTCTAGATCCAAATAGCTCATTCACTGTCCTACTCTCAGCATTACTATCAAATGTCTGCCTAATCATGAGATGGATAATAAATTGGGTTGTATATTTGAGGAGCATGAAAGATATGAGTGTTACACGTACCCGCACGACCAGATAAACCAAGGAGTATTCGACATCCAGTGACGAAGTGTTTGACTTGGAATCAGTCCATGAACAATACCAGTTATTCAACAGCACATAACTTACGTAAGTAACACGAAGGCACAGATTTCCCACACAATTGCAATCTGGAGTGACGCTACGATGAAAGTCTTTGAAAAGTGAACAGTGAAGGATATACTATGTAGAAAAATGCATCAAATACCTTCCAAATGAACTCCCTGCTCCTGCGTTCAACAGAAAACTGGTTGGAGACAGACTTGATTAATTTGTTTATAAGCAATACTAATGAGGAACATACTTCTGTGTTACGCTGTGAATTCATTGGGTCTTCATTTGAAGACAGTTCATCTGTTGGGGTGGTAAATATGAGAATTAGATTGATAATATTTTCAAGGGATTCATAATAAATTGTAAATAGAAGAAGAAGAAGAAGGACAGAAAACGCGATGTTCTCTGACCAAATAGTTAACTGCTGAGAATCTGTTTACTTCATTTGTGTCATGTTTTACCACATTATTGATTTCAGTATGCACCTGATGGCATAGCTACTGAACAGAGTCGAGAACGCTAAACTTTTCATATCTTTATCCTTCAACTACCATGTTTCAAAGCTGAAAACGACAACAACATGAAGTGATACACACTACACACCCTACTCGTTCGATACACAGCTTTTACGAATGCTGTCACAGATGATACGTGTGAAGTGAGTACCTCGTTCCCATGCACACCCGTACTTTCACTTCATCCTACACTCCACAGTATTCAATCACATGCCGAAGGTAATGAAACATTGGCTGGTGGTGTGCAGTTGACCAATCATTTTGTTGTCCATCTCACCAGATTTGACTCTGCTACCTATGTAATCCAAGTCAACGAGACTTCTTTCTCCGATATCGCAATAATCTGTCGAACAGTGACGTCCACCCTCAAACCACTTCTAGAATCAGCTGTAATGTACATACTTCACTACTTACTATCACTCGAAAATATAATTCCTACGTAACTAAACGAGTTGAACAGGAAAAATGCAATTTCTCAACACTTCGTTCGATAGTGAAATAGTATCTTTTCACTTGCATTATAGAATCCTGATTATAAATGAAAAATTGTAGCAAGTGTCGAGTGATGAGTGGCTGGTTTGTATGCTTATGGCAGCTTATTTGAAGTTCTCAGATAGATTCAAACACACTGATCGTTCCGGGTATGAAAACTGGGTGATTTTGTTGGTGCTAGTATTCTATAAACAATCTTTGTCTTTTCAGATAACAAATCCATCAGGCTGGTCTGAGTTTGGATACTTAATTTCTGATAAGTGGTGATGATTGACAGCCGCCAACCATCTCTTGGGACGAACTCAGAATATTTCTTTTCAGTGGAATTATATATCGCTACTTTCTACATTTTCAGAATGTTTATCTTTTATTCAGAATAGAACTGAACTGAGTGCAAATGACTTGCACTTGCTTCATTTGTTGACTTATTAAAACGGTGGATCGGACTATATATATATACCACTGCCAGGCTAATGAAAGGGCTACAATCTGGAGTCCTTTGGTGCTTGAAATATTTCAGACTATTTCTACCAGATATAAATATTAGCAGAGGTACTCGAAACAACTCAAGAAACAGATAGAGTTGAGGTGTTACAAATAAGAGTAGGCTTATATCCACCCTCATCACAGCCCCATTATCTTGATTTCGTAAATATCCGTAATTATGCTGAACAAGTCATCACTCAATCATAGGACCAAAGTCCCTTCAAAAAATTCTTCCATTCAATTGTCTCGGTGGCCAATTGCCTTCCCGTCTTATTCCCCTAATATATGAGAATCGATTTCACAATGAGAATTTTCGAATTAACAATGAATGTTGGATGGTTCGTTTCTAAATGTGACAGGTTCAGTGAAGACAGGCCTAAAATTTCAGAAAGCAATTCAGTGATTCACTCATCTCTAGTAAGTAGCTTTACGAACTTACATACAAAATCAATACATCATTGAATTTGTGGAGGATATCTTAACCATTCAATCTAATTATGAGTCACATTTCGATGTGGAATGAAGCTTAAACTGTGCTCATTAGATACACCATGTTGTAATGAAACATAAAATGAGGTCACAAGAAGTACGTCATCATAATGAATAGTCTCATCTAAGCATTACAAGTATCAGGGATGGAAATAAATCTCACCACAATGTATTCAGGAGCCTATCATGCAATTATGATATGAAAATAAAAAGACTTACTCTCGTTTGATGAGCTCATCGTCGCGAAATTTGTAGGCACCGCTGACTAATGGCAAGAGGTGTGTGCACTTCATTTTATACAAGTCAGTGTAGATGAAAATCATTCAAGGTAAACATGTTTGTTCAAAGGAGATGAATTCGATGGACTTTGATATTGAATAGATAGTCACAAAACACACAACTTCACCAGAGTCAGTTAAATTCGAAAACGGAATAACACTTGTGAAACTATTGGCAGAGCAGTTAGAAATGAATTATCATTAAACTATCAGAGAGCACAAACCACATTTTGTAAATATTTCAATGCACTGGGACCAATCTCAATTATTTAAATACGTCAACACAGTTAGAGGGCTTTGGAAAACGAATAGGCTGTGGACAGTTATTTCATCCGATATCGAAATTCCTCGTCTCTGAAAACTAAGGATTTCAGGAGGGCACGAACTACAGGTCTAAACAAATTCATAGCGTTTGAGATACTAAAACGTGAAAATTTCATTACATTAACTGGATTAGAAAGTTTCAGTCACCTCGTGAATAAGGCCCCTTATAATGACTACCAACTAATGACGAACCAGTGAAGGGCTAGTACTATGATGTCACAAGTGCGTCCACAGAATATGCCATTCACCGAATATTAAATTTGCCTAAAGGTAACTGATGAGAGAGATAAGGCATTTTACAGTGCATCAGATGAATGCTGTTTGTTCAATTGTGTGAGAGCAGAAACTTTGTTATGGTATGTTTAAGGTTCCGTCGTTTGAGGCAATAAGAGACATTATCAGTGCTGGTCGATCACACACTGACGCCAACCCTTTAGCATAAGAATGTCGATTTTCAATGTGGACCAAGTTCACTTCGGATGAATTAAACTCAAAACGTAGCCCTGCATACACCCACTATTAATATGTTGTTAACCTTGCCTAGTTAAGTAGTTTGGTAGTTTTCTAGCCGGTCTCAGTCTTGGATAAAGACGGGGAGGTTTGCGTATGCGCTAGCGACCCTACACCACAAAAGCTATCACACTGTCACAGAAACTAAGAAGCACAGAAGCTATATTGAAAATACAAGAGAATTCAGATAACAACAGTCTAAATCTTCACTCGCTTCGGAGAGACGAAATGACACCGCGTGCTGATGAAACATTGCCTTTGGGAAGCCAGTCAGCCAGCCGATTTGTCTTCTGTCGATGAAAGCAAGAATAAGAATGGGGGCGTGGAATATTCGTACAATGTAAGAGATTGGAAAGGCTGTCCAGGTAGCGAAAGAAATGCGAAGATATGGCATACAAATGCTAATAATCTGCGGAAGCAGAGGGAATGGGTGCAGATCGTGACAATTGTCAACTGGTGAGTCAGTAATTTACTCTGGTCCGGTCAACCAGTTTACAACCACGAGCACACTAAGGAAGTGAGTGGCTGTTATGATGTCACCAGTGGCAGCCAAATCCCTAATGCAGTAGGAAACAGTTCCAAGCCGCTGGATAATGATTACAGGATTCAACTGAAAAGCCTGGAAGGAAGGTTCCAATTATCCACTGCTATTAACAACGCGTTAAAAGAGAAGAAGGAGATTTTGACAGACAACTACAACCAGTAATGGACAACATCCCTAATGCTGACATAAAAATCCTCATAGGCGATATGAAAGCCACCAGTAAGCAAGCAATACTGGAGGAGAACTGATTATGGGTAGAGAGGCTTCCACTCGGTGAAATGAATGAGAAGAGAGAATTATTGAAAGATTTCTGGGTTTTCCATGATTTGGTGATTGGAGGTAGCACAAGGACAAATACAAAACAACATGGATTTCGCCTAATGGATACACCAGAATCCAAATAGATTTCATCACAATGCTGCTCACAGAAGTTAAGAAACAGCTGGCCTACTGGATGCAAAGTTCATAAGGGAAGCAGATGTGGACTCAGACCATCATTCAGCTGAATAAACCTAAAGGTGAAGCTGAAATCCTTCAGATCAACTGGAGACAGGCCGCTGTAATTCAAGTCCAACATTCAAAAACTGAAGGACAAAACTATAACTGTCGCCTTTACTACAGATCTATTCAAAGAAAAGTCAGACACATTACGTGGTATCACTGAGAACACCTGTTTGGAAGATAACTAGAACTATCTGAAGGAGATGTTCAAAGAAGCGAATACGACAAGGAATAATGACTCTCATTGGATGCATGAAAGCTGATCGAGGAGAGGAGAATGATGAAAGAGAAGACTATTGAATGCTAGTCTTTACTGGATTGCTTTGCATTCTTAGGTGAACCTTCCCTCTTCATTGATCTTATTCCGAGCTAAGCGATGTATACCAGTGCTTCCACCATAAATCCAACCCAGAATACGAGTAGGAAATCAAAAAAGAATACTACATTACCAAACAGTTTAAGCAGTAGTATTGAATTGTATTGTAGGGATCAATTATAGAGCCAATTGAAAGCTGCTAGAGGGACAGCATATGTCGTAATGATGTATGTCACACGGTTTCCCAGAAAGTTTTATTTCTGAGCAGTCCTTAAATATCAGAGATTCACATCCAGGACAACTCCTGGAAAATATCAATGAAATCCATCTCCACGTCTCACCTACTTTATTCTATGAACGGATTAGTCTTAAATTACTGGAATAATGTAGGTATCATTCCATTATGGGTAAAATTTTGTTTTGATTAAGTCTCAGTAAACATTACTGTATAACACTGTGAGACTTTATCAAAACAAAACTTTACCCATAATGGAATTATACGCTACCACAATGCACAAGTTTTATTCTTATATCAATGTAGGTATCAAATTTGTGTTCTACTGTGGAATATAATCCCACTGTGTTAGGATAAAATCCTCAATTACTCATTTGATAGGATTATTTGATGAAACACGCAATGGTGACACTATGTTAATTCCTGGATAACGTTTCAAACACAAACTATTTCTCCTAATCATGTAAACACATCCACATGAGTCTTCATAATTTTATGGGTGTATTTCTCATCTTCCCTTTGCTCTTAATTGTAATATTCTATACATCCGGAATGAACCTTACGACATTTCTATTGCACTTGTTCGATGTTGATTTGCTGAACACACATTCTGTGATTAACCTTCTGTCTCCACCTAATCATATCGCTGTTTATTGCTTCCACCCTGTCCCTTCTCTTCCTACAGAGGGAATATGTGCGATTGAGTGAACTGCGATGTCTCACTTTCCCTGTGTTATTTTACACAACAGCGTCAATTATCCTACCTCTGGCCAAGATTCCTACCTTTCGATAATCTACTGCTTTTGCCTATGTGTTCGACCTTGCACTCATTAGGCAGTAATCGGGATTTCATAAGATTTCTCCGTAAACGGATGTATCGTAACCTTGAGTCAACAGAGCCCACCTCAGATTTCATTTGTTGTTCTGAATTCCGGTCTAGTTTTAGCCTCATTTGAAATCTTTCTTTGGTCGTCTGATATGTCTTCCTTTTGTGACAGTACTGTCGATGCTATCAGTTGTTTATTATTCATATTATTCTCATAACTTCAATTACTAAATTATGGACTTCAAACATCACTGAATAAATAAAGTCTGCTAGGCAGCTATTCCCTGACCGTATTTTTTCACCTTTTTTATTTCACTGTTTAAATCTTCTAACTTTACTGGTCATGTTATTTAAGTAACTTCAACCCCGTTCTTCACTGAGATTTCATGTTTTGTCATATCACAATAACAGTATAGTTCTTCGTCTACCGTGCCTTGCAGAACGCACACTTCATAAACTCATTTCTCAGCATAATCCAGCAGAGTTATCCAGAGAACAGTGGGAGACGTCCAATGGCTAAAATTTCGAGCATTTCATGAACGCAAGTCACTCAGGACAACGACAGATATCGTTTACAATTACCTAGGAGATATGGATGAAAGGTAAAATGGGTGTTAGGTTTCTGCACTCGTGCATTCAGGAGTTATTAGCAATTTGTCAATATAACAATAAAATGTATATGCAGAAAAGGTTAATTTTTACCGGCCACATTTGTTTTGCAGCAGTCCTAAAATTTATCTTTCAATCCTTCCATTCTGTCTTCAGTAATTGATTCATTAGTATCGTTTTCACATGTTTCCTCAGTACATGAGCCTGGAATAAGTTATCATCTAGCGTAAATATTTGAACAAAAACATTGAATTCAATCAAACAATGTGAATAATAGTCTTATTATTAATCTTCATTTATACTTTCCTGGACTATGTGTCATGCATCAAATTTTGTGATTTAATTCATCAACGTCAACACTTCAGCTTATTCAAGATAAATCATACTGTTTTCAGGTATTTTGTGAGGTTACACAAGCTTTACATCTATTCCTGAATTTTGCGTGCTTACATTCAAACTGCTAAAGAAAGGAAACTTAAGTCAATGCAAAAACTGGTGTGGAATTATGGTACTGTAATTTTCAAGCGAAATACTAAGCCGCATCATCCTGGAAAAAATCAAACAAGCCGACCTGGATGAAAAACTTTGACCGGAACAAGCTGGATTCAGGAGAAACAGGTCATGTATTGATCAAACCGCCACTACACGAATCATCATTGAACAAAGCTTAGAATGGCAGTCATCTCTCTATCTCAACTTCATCGACTTGAAAAGGCCTTTGACAGCGTCGATCGAGAGGTGATTTGGCAACTACTTCGCTACTACGGGGTCCCATCGGCAATTATACATCTCATCCAACAGTTATACGACAATGCGACATGCCAAGTAATCCACAACCGGAAACTTACAGAAGCCTTAGAAGTGAGGACGGCAGTGATGCAAGGCTGTCTACCATCGCCAATGATCTTCCTGATTGCAGTAGTTTGGATAATGCGACAGACAACGGGCCAGGTAATGAGGAAACAGGCATAAAATGGATCCACACAAAAAGCGAACTTGGAGGATCTGGATCTCACCGATGATATATGTCTGATTTCCACAAACTGGAAGATATGCAAGTAAAAGGCAACAAGCTGGCAGAAGGAGCATCAAAGA